GTGGGACATTCTCCACAACCACGACCATTGGCTTCGACCTCTCAATGAGATGATAGGGTCTATCACTTGAGCTCTGGGGTCAACACTGCCTTGTTGGAGGCCTTCCCTGGAATAGGGTTGGCACGGCGGCCCTGCAACAAATATCGTCTACACAGGTCGTCGACACGCAGTCTTTTATAACCATCCTCAAGCAGCATTTGGGAATCGTACCGGCTGGGACGCGTCCAACACTCTGATGTCCTCCAGTTGAGAGGCCTCATCCCCAGATGTCCTAAGCTGGGTTCGATGGACTGTCCAACAACAGCAAGGCTGGTGTGAACTCCTCGGTATGGTTTCTTTAGGATAGACACGTACACGATGTGTTCACCGGATGGAGTGGTCGGACCGCTCCGGTGGAACAAAAAGGATTCTCTGCTTCATGGCCCCTCTGGCCCATTAATGGTTCTTAGACTTCAGTTAGAGATCCTCCTTCTTCTGGAGGTCCAACCACCAGGACCTTCCGTTCGTGACCTCTTCAGGATTGGGTAGTATTGGTGGAACCGTGTCCTTTTCAGACCGAGACCCGCGACCTGTTCGCCTGGGGATCTCAAGGTCGGTCCCCAGAAACGGGAAGGTCTAACGTAGAAGGTTTCAACATGTTTCAACTCGTCGGATTCAGTGTCTCACCCGATTGAATCATTGGAGCCTCGTGACTCGGTAGGGTTTGGACCCGAACCGAACCTTCACCGAACGGGTCGGGTCCTTGATGCTTGGGGCAAACCTGGGCAAACATATCCCGTTCGGGCTCCAGGTTCGGTGGTCTTCGACCCGCACCCAGCCGCCCACCGAACCTCCGATTCGGTGGGCCAGGAGCCCGGAAGGGTATGTTGGAATCGAGCCCGGTGGAGCCGGGTGTCTCGAAAAGGGAAAGCTCCTCGGGAAAGCGAGCTCGGTGGACCTGAGAAGTCGGACCTCCTGGGACAATGGTGGCATGCCGTTCGGTCCGGGCGGCATTGCCTGACCAGAACTAGGGCACCCGACCTTCCAGATCACTCACTTCCATGCCCAAGACCAAAACCATCCTAAGTTGCCTTGGCTTTCTTTTTCATTCGACCTTCTAATCCAAAGGGGAATCCCCCCGCCCACGGCCCGCATGTTCGGGGGGGGGGGCAATGGAGGTCCGGGGAACCGTTCCATCTTGTTGGAACCAACCTCCTTCGAATTCATTCAACCATCACCCAACCAGAGGTATCCAGTGACCATAGAGAGGACCCGTGAAAACCTGGGGTACCGAGCTGGGATAGTCTATAGGGCTCTTCAACCTCGATCTGTTGCAAGACCTGTTGGATGGAGGGTGATGCAAAGGCTCCACGTATCGGATCGGACGTGCCTGCGAATCAGCTCGGGCAAGGACAGCGGCATCCTCTGAACAGGGAAACAGGGTCTTTGCACACTAGAAAAAAAAGGATGATATAGTTGAAGAAAAGCACGCCCATGAAACCTGGATGCTCGTGCCTCCCCCACCACAAGTTACTCGGAGACTCCCTCGAGTTGCCAAAGTTCCGAAAAACCGTCATGTGTGGGGAGCGTGTGATGTTTTCGGTCATGCATGTTGTCCTCAACCGTCTTTGTCCTGAAACTCGTGTTGTATCACACCTAAGAGATGTCCTTCCAGCAAAGAAAAGATAGAGAAAGGCATTTTTTCTCATATATTCCCCAGCACAAAACAGTTTGTTGGTGTGTACTTGCCTGTATTTGACTTTGCGATTGGCAGCAGTTCTATGATTCCAAGATTTTCACTGTACTGTGGACTGGTTGCTTCCAGTCAAACCTTAGTTCCAAGAGTAAGAATAAGACTATTTCACGGACTATTTCAGAAATTGACAATGATCAATGTGCAACTGCCATTTGAGACCACAGCGAGGAAAGGGTCAAGCACCTGCCCCCATGTATCCATTGAACACCCTAATGTCCCAATAGATCCTAATAGCATCTATACATGCATGACATCCTTGCATTGTGACCATTCATCCCAACCCCTGGAAGTTCTCAGGAAACATCATCCCAGGTAGAAGCTCACACAGTTCAGATCAGTTCAGACGGTACCCACTTGGGTTTTTGTTTCCTCGACCCGAGTTCCTCCAAAGAATGACGGAGGTGCCTGCGCGTGAGACCACATCCCCGTCTATGGCTCACGGCTCACTACGTTTCCTCGTTTCTGCTGGGTCTTCTGAGGGATCAGCCTATATCCAAGACGTCAACACACCAACCACCCCAAATGGACTGTCAATGTCTGCCCGGGAACTCTTCGGTGCGGAGGGGAACTCTTCGCTTGGAGCTCGGTGTGTCCGTTCATCCGGGTCCTGGTGTCCGAGAAATCCTGCAGCATCCGGGATGCTACGATGGTGTCCTGCCGCGCCACCTCCACCTGCTCCTAGGTCAAGAGCGCCATGGAGAGAGAGAGAAGAGGGATGGGAGTGGGTCGTGATCAAACAGGAAAGGTGGTCAGAATTCCAGAAATTCACCAGTCCCCGCGCTTGTTCCATTGGCGCCAGGAATCGTTGTAAACGGCATTTGTTGCCATGTGGCGCCAGGATGGGGGACACCCGTGACTCAGACCACCGCGGACGCAGACCCGGTCAGGTGCTCAAAACCTGTGCACCTGAAAGGCTCGGAGACAGCCCGTGGATCGTTTTGGGGCTGACAGGATCCGTTTCTCGGCCCAATCTCTCAGGAAGCAGGGCGAGCCGACCTCGCAACGCTTGGGGCTGAGTGTGTTGGTCGCCTGTGGTGCTTGAGATGGAGTGGTTTGACGTTCATCTTGAGGCAGCCGACATAGTAAAGCTCGACTCGCGATACATTGGGAGAGGCGAAGAGAGACGTTTTCCTCCCAACCTGAAATCTGACCCCTCATGTCCCTTGCGATCCCAAAAATAGAGACGTCCATCCCCCGTTTCCCGCCTTATCTCGCAGGACCTGGGTCAAAACCTCTTCCAGGATACAGTGTCTTATAGACATTCCAGCAGTCACCATCACCATACGCCACCGTTCGAACCACAAAATCGGAGTCAGACTGCGCAAACCAGACCACCATGGCCCACCATGCACGCAAGATCGTTGGATGTTCCAAGGGGATCTACTTGCACCAAGAAAGACCAAATCCCACGATTTCTTTCGACCTAAATCGAACACATGTCCATTGCTTCCTGGGGTCCGATCTCGGTTCTGTGCGGGTCCCTGAACATGTCCATATACCCACACAGATCCGCACACGGGCAAATATGATCATCTATGCCTACATGGACCCTGAAACCACCCCAATGTAATTTCATAGTTAAATACGGCATACATGGAGTGTTTGAAATATTCAACGGATTTTACCAACAGGCATCTTAACTGCAGGAGGACTGCTGCCACCAGTGCATACCAGTGCCATCGGCCGCTCCTTCTCTTCTTGTTCCTTCCGCTGGTGATACTCCTGTTGCCGAAAACAACAGTTCCAATGCCGTGAACAAAAACACACTCCAAGACCAATTTCAATGTGTGGGGCACAATGTAGAGCACATGATTATACAACTTACAACGTTGTGGGGGGTGACGGGCCATCTGGTGAAAACGAAAACCAATGCCGCGAAAACGATGGCAATGTGAAAGTGAGACATTGGAGAAAATGTTGTGGAGCCATTGATCACGTTCCCCCCTTCGAAACGCGTTTTTTGGGGTGGGACGCGTGAAAATGTTTGGACGCCCAGATCAAATGATTTATGGTGACACAAAAAAGGACAACCGTGGACGTCCACGTGTTTGTCGGGGTATGTGTTGCGAGCATGGCATGTGTGTTTTGCATTGTTGTTTTTGGTAACATGAAGGAATGTTTATTGTGTGATGGTATGTTTATTGTGTGATGGTATGTGTTTCTACTAATATTATGCATGAATTCCTTGTCATTTGCATTGCCAGGCTGACTTTGGGGTATGACCAAGGCTATCATCAAGATCATTGCAGGGTTCCAAGCAGGGCTTCCACCAAGGGTATGACATGGCACACATATAATTGTACCAGAACCCAGCAAGGATGGTCAATGGACACTTCTGGAGGGCATATGGTTCAAAGGTTGATTCGCAACCTACACCACACTGGACTGATCTCTTTGGATCCCATCTTCAGCCTGACAAGATCCATGGTGTCTCCGATTGTTGGGGGGGACGGCTGACACGAGTCCGACCGAGACCGACACGGTCGGTTTGATCTCATCGTCTTCTTGAAACCGAACCCTGGAGTCCGGCCAGTTCCCTTGCACACCATCCCAGGCTTAGCCTAGACTATGCTATGGCTACTGTGGCTGCATCCTTCTGTATAGTAGGGCGGACTTCTGCGTCGCCGAGGCATACGCCCCAGTCAAGCTGCTCAGACTATGAAGTGCGAAGATGACTCGTGAAGGTATAGGGAAGGTTAGGGGAACGATGGACTTTGCCAGGACGCACGTCCGTGAAGGTTGTCGCTGCCAAATTGTAGAGGCGCGTGCTCTTGGTTGCCTGCGGCACGTGGCACATCTGGCCCTCCTGAAGTTTTCGGCATGCCTGCATTCTCTACATGTACCCGAAGAGCCAGGGCGACTCTGTCGTCCACAAGCTTAGTATCTCCCACACCGTCCACACTTTCGCTCTGTTGGAGCAGCATAATGGCACCAAATAAAGCCCCACGGTACATCGACAGAATCTCTACCCGCCCCAAAAGAAGTGTGGAGACCCAAGGTGTGCGCAGTGGAAGTGATATCTGGAGACCCAAGATGTGCGAAGTGGAAGTAACGATGACATCTGGAGACCTAAGGTGTGCGAAGTGGAAGGAACGATGACATCTGGAGACCTAAGGTGTGCGAAGTGGAAGGAACGATGACATCTGGAGACCTAAGGTGTGCGCAGTGGAAGCAACGGCAATCTGGGACCCAAGGTGTGCGAAGATGAAGAGGAGCAATGGTCCTGACGCTTCGCCAAAACTGATGCTCAGTGTGTCTGCTCTTTGTGGGCACGTCTAAGTGCTTCCAACAGTTGCTTTGCACTCTCCGAGTCAGCCCTTATCCTAATAGGAAAGTACCTGGTTTCAAAACCCACAAAGTTGCCAAAGAAATCGAAAATCATCTTCCTCACAAGAGGTAGTAACCCATGGCCTCTTGAAGAGCTTCTTGCATCCACAAAATTCCGACTCGCAGCTCGACAACGAAGCACAAGTTTGGCGTCTTGAAAAACCCTTGATAAGAGAATGAAGAGCGAAAAAGTAGGCTCCTGAAATACCCTTTCGCCTTGTGGACCGCATTGGAGCATGTGATGCATCGCAATACACCTCGATGAGTCTTGGAGACTCATCCATATTCCAGTGAACTCCTGGGAGTGCCAGCTCTTGTTCCTCATCTAGCATCAAAAACCGCAACAGCGCTTTAATTTCATTCCTCGCTCGTAGCGCTCGTCTGGATTTTGCTGGCCTGTCGCCAACAATGATACGAACATATGTAAGTCTTCCCGTGTCTGAGCCATCCATGATAGCTTCCCCAGACACCTCCGATTCCGGCTTTAGGCTTCTGGTGTCAATGCCGGTCTTGGCTCCTCGTCCAACACTGAACGTAGATTGGGCATCGTCCGTTTACTGGCCTTGATCTTCGTCAAACCAAAGTCTTCATAGCAAGACTGAAGATACCCTGGCTGCACACCCACATACTTCACGTCGAATCACACGACCGACGAACTTCAGATTCCCCTGTTGAACGAGGTGGCAAACTTCCTGTCAGTTTGGTTGGTATTTTTTTTGCTGAACAACCCCCAAACTTTCTCTCCAACAGTTTCATCCTTTGAAACGTCCAAAATGTCATCTACGTAAATCACCATCAAAATCCCTTCCCCAGTAAACACACACGGGTTCATGGGAGAAGAAACCAAGTTCATCCAAGTTCAATGGATTGACCAACGATTAAGCGCAACCAGTCCAAGCTGACACTCCTGATCCCATTCAAGGACTTCTGAAGACGCAAGAATACAGGGGGACCCGTCCAGCCATGACATTGAAAGAGGCATCTTCACGATCGATCCTCATTGAGAGGAGTGCGCTTCTGAAAGCTGAACTATCCAAGGTTCACATAAAGGCATCGGAAAAACCCGCAACTGCAAGAGCTGTTTTGATTGACTCCGCGGTAGTAGGTGAATTGATTCCTGGAGTTTTTGCCTTTTCAGGGCCTGCGATGTCCTTCACTACTATTCTGGCCCTTACACCTCGTTCTCCATTGATCACCTTTGAATTTGAGACCCACCTGCAAGGTATGATTCGAACATGTTTTTCGTGTTGTAGTTTTTCCTCTTCCTGTTGTTTCAAAGGAACACCGGCACCAACTCTGTCCATATGTCCGACTTCGGACTGCGCATCCCCTGAAAGGTCTGTTGACCATCCAACACCTCACCCTAAAAGAAACCACGCTTCATGCATGGCCTTCCCACGCAGCGCGTCTTCGCTGATGGCATTCACAACGATTGAACAACCGTTGCTCATCCATTTACAATATATATGACTGCCAGCAATGTCTGCTTCATTCCGCCTCCGGTCGATGCATGCCTCTGCTCACTTGTGCACCACAGAAAAGCTCACTCAGGATCACCCCTCCTTCAGCACCGACCCACACGACCGACCGAGACCGCAAGTCGCCCACCGTTCCGACCGAACTCTCGCCTGGATCAGGTCCTGTAACTCCATCTGGGCTTGCAGTGCGCCCACGCGTGCCTGCGATCGGATCCCAACGCGTGGACGGATGAAGAAATCCAGTCCCCCAAGCAGCCTTGGGCGTTTCCGGGAGATGATGGCAAAACACATGGGTTCTAGCATGCTCTGGCATTAGAAACGCACTCTTTGTAGTTACCTTGGCTCCGTGTGGAAAGGGACATCTGGTTACTCCACACTTAGATAACGCCCTCATTTTGAACACCTGAGATGATCTTCATATTCCCCTCCCAAGTTCTCCAGACTCCGAGTCCCTGAGCGGGACATCGTTTTTTGATCCCAGCTGTAATGGGTTTTGTGCATAGTAGGTGTACCATCTGGATCGCAAGAGCTCTACCCTCCATGACCAGGAGATATTTGGGTGGTTTTATTGAACGATATAGGGAGATCTCGATCCCCAATGAGGTTCGGTGTGATTTGCTCTATTTTCCTTCTTCCGCTGGGAGGTCTCCCTATTAAAAAACATACACCCGTTTCTCCAACGGAAAACCTGAGAAACCTCCCAAACGAGTAGCTGGAACGATCATGGTTGATCCACCTCCTCGCGTCTTCCGGCTTCAGTTGATGAACAGTCCCAGACCAAAGAACGCTCTCAGACCAAATCCTTCACTCACGTTGGAATCCAAACTTCACCGCTTCGCTCGAGCGGACCCCCGACCTCACGATGATCCACACGACCCCTCCCTGAGACCCTCCCGGGGCGGAGCTTCTCGGGGCAGACCCTCCGGGCTGACACCTCCAGCTCCTGTGGCGAGAGCAGCGTGCCCGCCACACTGATCTCTTGCTCCGTCTCCTGTGCGTCCGCCGTCTCCGAGCCGGGGCGGGGGGGGCGATGGTGCACCGGGGGGCGATAGTGACCGATAGTGGTAGTGGTAGTGGTAGTTATGATCAGGACATCTGGATCAAAACATGGCAAACATTGACAGTCTATATACATGATCATGCAAACTCTTCATGATACGTCAACCCATCCATGCCTGAAGAGGTCTTACAATCCATTGCCGGAGCGGGGTTTTGTATACCCCAAGGCTCCTGGCCCACATCCTCAGAAGACCCCTGGCCCTCAACATACTCCAACCACCTTCGACTTGAGATGTGATTGGAGCCCTTAGGATGACCATGGATAATCTACTTTCCCAGAATTTTAAGGGAACATCTACAGGAAACCCATCGTATTGGGACAGAAAACCGTGGTTTTCTTTGTTCACCCTAGATGTTCCCTGACACCAATCCAATTGTAACACAAGTGACTACAGTATATAGTGTTCTTGCAGCAGTTGCTGTGCCCCAGCAGTTCGTGTTTTAAAAGACTTGAACATCTGGGATACTCTGAAGGAGTCTATTCATCGGTCTATCCTAATACATGGTTGCCAGTGGATGGTGGTTGTTCAGTTGCAGGCCTTCTTCAAAACATCGTGATTTGCTGGTCCTTTATGGTCCTGTTACAGGTCAGTTCGGACCAACCCATACCTCACATCCTGGTCACCACGAGTCCGGACCTGCAGGTGCATGAACGGAAAGGGCGTCGCACCAAATCCGACCAAATCAATGCAAACCGACTGTGGTTTTGGGGATAGTTAGAAGTTGAAGCATGAAGACTTCCAGAGGATGTGATTTTACCATGTTTACTCTCTTCACGATTCAAAACAGTGCGACAGGTTACCATGTTACAAAGAGATGAAACAATCTGGACCGGGATCAGACAGGATTCATACCGTAAGAAAAACCAATCGCCACACACCATTGACCACCATCTTGTTTTTTAATGTATAAGACAGTTGAAGAATGCAATCTGTCATCCGTCCCTTTTTCAGTGAGTCATAACTGGTGCAGAACTGGTTCAGAAGACTCGTCTGATCCAGATGGGCCACTGGCCACTGGGCGAGGACGAGTTCGCTTCGGAACGGCGTGGCCTTCTTCGGCGCTTTGGGCTTTTTCGTGGCCTGGTCGCAACGAGTGGAAAGTCAAGGGTCGCGGGTCAACCAATCAGTATTTTATGGGATTTTTTGCAGAGACTGGACGAAATGTGAAGTTCAAACGACACTTGAAGTCTGAACTGTTAATTCACTTTTGGCAACAAGTGAAATTTCCAACAATTAAATGTTGGGATATGTTGAGATCGAACAGTGTGAATCTGCGGAAGAAAAACGACTTCGAATGGAACTGGAATGCAAGGCATGCTGCCTGCGGGAAAATACTTCGATCACATCCACTCCCCCGGACATACGAAGCACGGTCTTCACGTGGCGTTCATCACGTGGAGCGCCCAGTCAGACGTGGAGCGGCCAGTCGGAGGTGGAGAGCTCGAAAATGGAATCTCTGTTGGTCAGGGTGGCTGCCTGAGGTCGGATGTGGTTGCTTGAGGTTTCTGGAGAAGGCTGGAAGGCTTTTTGAGCCTGGCTTACGCTGCCTGGCTTCGACTAACATACGCTCCTGGCTCGTTTTCTGCCAGGTGAAGCTTCCCTGCTCGTTCCCCAACGTATCCTAACATTGTCCTCAAACTGCTTCTTTGTGGGACAATGCCGGCATCAGATAATCTTTTACACCAAACGGGCAGGAAAACGGAATCGGCCACCGGACAATTGTGCAGCACAGCACGAGACAGCACGCCACACCCAATTGCCCGGAGGATTACGATGCCGATGGAAGGGACGGGGATAAGTTCAGTGCCTCATGAAACTCCACGAAGGTCAAAGTCCTTCGAGGACCTCCGAGATGACACTTTTCGCTTCATGATCGGCTTCGATGGACATGACCTTCTCACTTTGATTCAAAGGCGAAAGGCGCATTGCTCCACATTCCTGGTCTGGTTGCCAGGGTCCAAGTAGCCGCATCCTTCTAGCAACCCTTCACGGCCTTGAAGGTTTCTGGCGCCGCATGGGCGCCACTCAGGGATTGCGTTGCCATTTGGCACTCCCACTCTTTGAAACGTCGGCACATGGGCAAAGTCCGGCTGCTCAGTTCGTGTGACTTCCAAAACATTGACTCAATGACTCAATGACATACCAAATTCTTAACACATATGTTCTAGGAATTCCAATTGCATTGCCTTTAAGATTCGATCATTCAGCGCCTTCAAAGACACGATGTTTTCATCCAACCCTTCAAACCTTTCAACCCTCTCCTTTCCTTCCCAGGCGCCACCCAGCTCTAAACTCTCTCGCAGCCTTCGATTTCTTCTTCGCCCGCGGCATCCTGGCGCAGGGCTTCGGTCGACGGAGCAGGATGGAGCGGAAACGAGGTCCCAGCAACCTTCATCAATATATGTTTTTTTGGTCAGGTGTGGTAGTGTCTTTCAGCTCTGGTTTTGGGAAAGAGACCGAAAAACATTTCCAGGGAAACCCAAACAGTGTGTCTAAAGGTCTAAACTCGAGAGGTGTAAAAACAGAAGGTCTAGAGAACTAGACTGGTGGTGATGGTGGTGCTGGTGGTGGTGATGGTTGTGCTGAAGGTGGTAATGTTGGTGGTGGTGACGGTGGTGATGGTGTCGTGATGATGGTGGTGGTGGTGGGGGTGGTGATGGTGGTGATGTTGGCAACGGTGGCGCTGCTGCTGCTGGTGGTGGTGGTGGTGATGATGACGATGATGGTGGTGGTGAAGGTGGTGGCGGTGTATTGATTATGTTAATCTATTGATTATTGAAAACCGATGACAACAAAGCAGCGCTGATTGTACCAAGACACCCAAGGGTCTTGTGGGGGGAGCACGACACTTGGTAGTCTGACTCAGGCGGAGGCTGTCTGCGCTGCATGCGCTGCATGTCCAGCGGAACTCGAGGCATATGGGTCGAAATCATCATAGTACCGCGGCGGGCCTCGGCCTCTGACTGATCTGACTGGCTGCCTGTCCGACTCCCTCGGGTCCGCCCTCGGGCGGTCAACACTTCCTCTTGGCCGGCTCGTTTCCTTGAAGTCCGGCTCCCTCTCACGTGGCATCCACAAGCCATTTGGGTTGCCCGCCTCATACGGCGGAGGGCGATGATGATATGGCCTGGTCCTTTCCCAGTACTCAGGACACTCCTGCACCCACTCACCGTCCTTTTCTTCATTGTCCCCATAGTCCCGCGGCAGCGGTGGTTGTCTGCCCACCAGGTGTGGAAGGTTTCGACATTTCAGCTCAACCTGAGAAGCTGCAAAACGAAAGCCAGCGCTTTTTGTCCACGAGCACGTTGCGAAGAGAGATAGTAAAAGTGCAGCGGTAGCTACACTGGGTCCGCTACCCTGGGTCCACGCGCGTGCGCCTTGCTGGCTCCCCCCAGATTTAGGCGCGCGAGCGCGCGGACCCAAGGCAGCTACAAGGCATTTACCAGGTATAGCACTTCAAGGTCCCTTTCCGTCAACCGCAGGATAACCTTTAGAAACGTGCAGCAATCCACCTTTGAAGTCTCATTCGTGCTTTGGACTTATATAGGTGTGTAAGAAGGTTATGCATTCACAGCTGCACGAAGCTACAACACATCGGCCTCTGTAAAACTACACCTGACCATTCAGATGATGCAAAAGATGCAAATTGCATTTCTTGCATCACCACCCCCTTCACAAATCACAAAAACTCAACCTCAAAAACCTTACTTCCGCGCACCCCTCTCCCCCACCTAATTTCGAGCTTACGTAGTACGTTCTCGGGCCACCCCCCCCCAGGCCCCCTACTTACTCACTTCGTTCGCCAAACACAACTCAGCTGGCGCCTTCTACGAAGGCTGACTTTCGTAAAACACTGAGACTCCATCCAAACATCCACCTTGTAGCGGAAATGGGTCTTTTTAGGAGGGGCCTCATGTCCATGCATGTACAGTCATCATGATTCTTTCAGGGAGTCGCAATCTCTTGCCCAGCAAACTTACACAGGATAGTTTACACAGAAAGACGGGATTGCGATCGAATATCCAATGATCCAATGATGTTGCACTTCAAGTTCCCTCTCCAGTCTCATTAGTGATTTGAACTTATATAGGTGTGTCGGAAGTATAGCACAATAGTATTTATACGGACCCAAAATAACTACAATTCAGTTGCATGGTATAGGACTTTAATTTCCCTCTGCCCAAGCCGCTAGAAAACCCTTGAGAAACCATCCACATTCAGATGATGCAAAAGCAAAAAATGCATTTCTTGCATCATCACCCGCTCCAAAATCTCCAAAACATCACCTCGAAAACAACCTCCAAAACCTTCCATCCGTGCACCCTCCTCCCCCAGCATGTGCCGAGTTTACGCATACCTTTCTCGGGCCACCCCCCCCAGACCCCCTACCTACTCACTTCGTTCGCCAAGCACAACTCGCCTTCTACGAAGGCTGGCTTTCGTAATGAAATTCCATTAATTGGTGGTAAGCCCGTAACTTTCAGTGAATAGTTCGTGACTTGTTTTCAATGCTCCTTGCCGAGGGGTCTAACTTGAAACATCAAGTTCAAACAATTAAAGGTAACTTTTTCAAACAATGATCACGCCTTGAGTTCTGTCCCAGCGGCCTTTGCCTTTGCCCCGCTTGTCTGACCTGTCCTGCTCTGGTGGCGGTCCGACGCTTAGAAGTTGTTGCTCAAGCCTGACCTTTCTTCTTGGTAAACAGTTATGATTTTTTGAGGTTTGGGCAATTGCCAAATGCAAGTGGGTCAGATGTTTGTAGACTTTTCTGGCAAGTGGACCTCTGGTAACTTGTGACAGAATGCAGACACAGCTTCTAGGATAATCTGCAATCGTTCCGGTAAATATACAGCTCTGGGCAAGTGCAGAAGCATCGTGACGATAGGGTTGTAACGCTACTCTGTCGGAGATCTGCCGTTTCAACATGAACACAATGTGCAAAAGTTTCTTCCCCCAAGTCTGGCTATTCCTGCAGAAAGTGTGAGTTTTCAAGCCCGCACAGAAAACACAATACAAGTGTATGTCTGTCCGTTTTGGTTCCCATTGAAGGGATGTTAACTGTAAACAACTAGCAACTAGCAAAAAACCTTAGCGTGAGTGATAAGATCAAAGACGGAAACGATTTATGACTTTGTTCTTTGTTGTTCACTCCAATGTCATGCAAGGAAGAACAGCCCTGAAAAGTTCCACTATACCTAGAGATTGTAGGGTTTCCGGCAACAAAGTACGCAACGTCATGTCTGGTGTGTAACACATCCGGAAGGTCAATATTTCGCAAGTAGGTGCAGTTTTGGAAGCGGGCTGGCCATAGTATATGAACTGACTGGCGCATATGCTTACGCCGAAGCTCAGCTTTGTTTGTGTTTACGGGTCTGCACCTATACCACGAATGATGGGTTCGTGGAGGTACAGGCCGTGTACTTCCTTGCTGCTTCATCATAGGCGGTGATCGTCACCGTGCGGTGGTCATTTGGATTGTCGGTCTGGCCGGACCGGCGAGGAACCTGATCTAGGATGTCCCGCAAAACCTTAAGTCAGATGTAGAGGTGACGAATGAAGGTATTGTATGAGTGGGTCGTGCATGACCTGTTCCTGTGCAATAAGTAGCAGACGTTGTCCAAAAAATTGCGCCTGCGTTCGCCTCAGGTGCCGTATGAGAAAGTCCTCCAAATAGTCGTAGAGATTGAAGAGTATTTCCTGGTCATGCCACGCAATCTGCACATCGATGTACAGCCGCTCCGATCTCCTGCACCTGTCATGAGAAGTCAACTTGAGACCAACAAAGCACGTGGTTTCGTTTGCGCTTGCCACAAAAAGTGATCACCAAGTCCAAAAAGTTTTAAAAATGCACACGCTCACGCCCACCAGATTCTGCGAGCCTGCGCAGTCGAAATGAACTGCGAAGATCTCGAGGTGAATGAATGTACTGTAAATAGCAGTGATTTAGCCGCACACGCCGATGAGAACGTCCGATCAGAACCTGGCCTTATCCATTTTACAGTAAGAACCCGTGGTGTTACCGCGCTGTTTGGTGAAAAAATACATTGTTTTCTGATCAAACGCTGCTCAGAAGCTATCCATGATTCATACATATTCATACCCATCTCAATGGGTTCGCTTAGGTTGCCTGAAAGAACCCCAACTCCCGCAACGCTGCTCTTTCTTCAATCCAACAAGCTGATACAAGCTGCAACATGTCCAAAACACTCCATGGATCTCTGTGAGGATGGCCTAGTTACCTACACTGGGATCAGGGTGGGGGTGTTTCCGGGTCAAGCCATCTGAAGACCACCACTTTGGCTGAATACTGTAGCACCCATTTGGGCTGCATCTGAAGAACGCCACGTCCTGATTCTTTCCTGCCAAAGGGTACCCTGCAGACTAACATGGAAAACCAAAAGACTAAGTCCTTTTTCAGGAAACGGGCTGGTCAAGTTCCGGTAACTGGTCAGGGTCCAAGTCTGCAGGGGGGGGCTACCATTCTCAGTGTCATGGTGTGCCGCCATGCCTTTCATCCTCCATCCGTCTCCCACGTCTTGTCCGACCAGAAGTCCCGACACCGCCTGGGCTGTTCAATGTAGAACTCCGCCGGCGGGATCAAGAACCCATCCGCATCCATCTAGGGTCGACCGCAGTAGTTCGCGTTGCGCGCCGGGGATAAAGGGGCTCGTGAGGAGGACAGGGTCAGGAGAATGAAGACCGGGAAAAATTGAGACTGCTAATGGGGACCAAGCATCCTTGAGGAGTTGGAAGCGGACCTGCCATGTTCCAGCCCGATCCTTCAGCAGATCCCGTTCCCCCGCTTCCTGACCGCTCTACGTTCTCCCTGGGACGAGCAACTCGCAATAGTCCGAATAAGAGTATAATTGACTAGATGTGCCACACTCCAAGAGACCCCTGATCATGTGATTTCCACACAATAACCACCCGACATGAGTGCTGCTGGTATAGCGCAACGAGTTCTGAGTTACGAACAAAAGTGGCTGGCACGGATTGGACTGGCATACCAGTTGCTCTTACACTTGTGACTGGTGCGTTTCAGGGATCAATGTGAGCATAGAATCCAGTGCCATGGAGATGTCTTTGGCGCACAAGGTTTGTTGATGGAGGAAACACAACCGTCCAAGGGCCTCAAGGCCATGCCTAATTAATCTGATAAACATGAATTGAATTTTACGCAGCACCGAAGTTATCACAAACATTCAAAAACACAAAAACATGACCCTGGAAACAACAGCGTCATCACCTCTTTCTACTTGGGATTATGGATGAACAAAGACTTAACACGTGCTTCCCAAATGACGAACAACAACACCCTGTGCCCTTGCCGGAGGTTACAACACGCACCCAAAGCACCCCAACAAAAACATGACCAGGACCTTCAAACAGGTGGTCTTTGGACACCCCCAAATCACCTCTAAGAGGCTTTTTTCAGACCTCAAAAAGGAAGGTCATAGGAAGGTCCTGATAAACAACTTCAATAATAAACAACTCCTTCATTTTCCTTCCACCGGCACTCCAAACACACGTATACGCGTGACACCCCGAAGAACTCCTCAAATCGCGTCATCCCTGGCATGACATGATGTCATCCATGGCATGACGCAAAGCGAATCGCCGATCCAGAGCTAGCGCCTGCATCAGCACGGCAGCAGCACTTGCAAAACCAATGCCGATCCAAAGCCAGCACCTGCACCAGCATCAGCACGGCAGCAGCACCTGCAAAACCAAAATGCCCATCCAGAGCCAGCACCTGCACCAGCATCAGCACGGCAGCAGCACCCGCAAAAACCAAAACGCCGATCCAGAGCCACTCCATTGAGAAGTTAGAACCCCTATAGCCTGCAGCTATCTAGGGGAAACAATTACACGTGACGTGTCTCCACCTGGCAAACAACAAGAAACGGCCAATAACAGGGCCAACGGCCTGAAAAATACCAAAAAAACATGGGTTTCAACCTGAGGTTCCGGGCATAGGCACCACTGCCATCGATGTGCAAGCCCCACAAGGTGCCTGTTTTTCAAGCACCGGCATCGTCGACGGATTTCGTGGGTCCAACGGAAGTGTTTGGACGTCACGGTTGGCTTGACCGATCACTTGGGTATTGGATATCTATATCCCACCAGGGCATAGTGGATGATGGTTGGGTTGTGTTAGCTTGTGGTGGCCTTGCCATCAGAATTGTGATCATCTTTTACCAGAGCCACTATTGATATTCATTTGATATCGGTGTCCTTTTTTGCTCGGTGCGACATGCTGGTGCTTTGAGGAGCGACATGCTGTTGGTGTAGACATGCCACCTGAAGGGGTGCTTTGTGCAGAGCCTGCCAGTTTTTGCTCAGCTTGATTCATCTCAAAATAGGAAACGTATGGGCTCTGGAAACTCAAAAACAGTGGCTGTTTCTTTCTTCTCCAGTGTCTCGCATACTAGATAGCACAACTTTTTCTCAACACATATTGGAGACTCCACGTGCAAACAAGTATCAAACATGTGGAATTGAACTTGACATACCGGGCCAGTCTGGGTCCGAGACCCCATGTTCCTATATCAGGATAGGATGGAGTTCCTGGGCCCTGGGCCGGATCGCCTGATTGGACTCCGAAGAAATCGACTGATGTAGACTGCTGATGGATGAAACCATATCACCATTCAACATGATTTGGATCGTAAAACCATGCAACACATTGCAACACCTCATCATATGGAGGAGGGCGTTATTTGTCAACAGTTTCTAGACTACCGGTCGGTGGTTTCCACTCGAAAATATCAGCCAGTGGGATCAATCATCAGTCAGTGGGATCAATCATCTCAAAGTACATCTTGAACACTCCGAACCCAGGGATGACTCTTGATTCATCAACCCCCAATTTGAACCCACCACCCAGCGGGTTGCGGTGTTTTGTCGATCACCATCTGGTTGGGTCAGGTCCGACTTTTTCGACACTGCAGAACTTTGCGACCAGGTCGAAGTCGGTCCAAGCGAGGCGATAGACGTCTACATGTCTACCCTGGGGTTCGGTTCGGAAAATAGACCATGTAGACCTGTCGACCCCATTGGGTCAGGGTGATTTCCCAAGACACACCCATATACCAAAGCCGTTCTGGATGGCCAGGGGCTCCCAGCGGTTGGTGGCCAGGCCGCGCGATAAGATCTCTAGCTCCTCAAAAAGGCGCTCCGGCTCCGACCCAAACTGCCGTTTGTCAGACCGATAGACGGCCTGGTGTGGAGGCGATAGTATCGGACATCCATACATTTACATCTGTTCTATTCAGATATTCAATTGACACAGTTTGATTGAACTTTCTTTGACATGAATTGCCGCAATGAGATTGATTGCTAAGAGATTGGGATCAATATACAATGATGCAATGATGCATGCATGTGTGATTCCCTTTTCACCCCAAACCACTCCATGTATGGTACATAATGTACATATGACAAATGACAAATATGGAACATGTATGGAACCACCCCAATTGATCGGCTTATGGCATACATGGAGTGTCTGGGCACCTGTTTCATCCTGTTTCGGGTGTAGTTGGGTCCTTTGAGCTGGTCGGCAGCATCGGGTCGAGTCTGGTGTGCAAAGGCACCTTTTTTCATAGCCACAAACGAGGGAGCAAGCGACTTTTCATGGTGGGATAGAAGGAAAACGAGGGAGCAAGAATGGAGCACCCCTATTTTCAGACACAAAAGGACCTTAGATCATTCCCTCGATCATTCCCTGCCCTCGGATCCGAGTTGCCTAGGATTTGCTGTCCAGGACCCGAAGCCGGAGAGTCACCCAGTTCCGGAGAGTCACCCTAAGCCTAAGCCTTGAAGGCCCAAGTTGGGCCACGAAGTGGGTTCCAAAGGCTAGTCGATGGGCGAATGGAATTTTTAAAACATCGAACTTAGAAGAGCTCGAAGTCCACCAGGCGAGAACAAAGATTCCAGAGACATCCGAAACAAAAAAAACGGGGCTGCTGTGACTCGTGAAAGGGGCTGCTGTGAAACCGCATGTCCGCCGGCTGCGAAACGCGAAACCGGCCTGACTTTGGAAGCTGTTGTAGGAGATATCCAAATGCTGAAGACTTTCTGACCGCTGAAACACCTGCCGATCAGCACGCAGGGGGTGTTCTGAAATGAACACCTGTGGACCCCCAGTCTCTACATGGCATAGAAAAGACAGGTTACCTATGTGAAGGTTATTCAATTCTGGTGTACCCGGTGTAGAATGGCACCCCAAACCCATCTGCATCAACAGAATCTCCGTGAAAGAAGGTGGACATCAGGGGTTGGTGCCATCATCTACTCGGATACACTCCCGAGTCCACTCACATAGACCCTGACGTCCTGATCCCCTGGAAGGGTGGTTTTCCTCTACCAACCGACGTGGTTTTCAGGGTCCATGTGATCGTCTACCAGGGTGCATCACCATGAGAGGATCATGGTGACTTTGCAACACGCACACAGTGAGGCGCACCTGAAAGTGTAACAACCGACCACCCAATTTGAGCTGGATGAATCCCACCATTCTCCGTCTATGTGGCCCGGTGTCGGTTGGGGACTTAGCTATACGTACCCACAAGATCCATAGAATTCCTGAGGAGAAGACTCAGGTTCAACTTCAAAGACCATACGCATTATGTGTCAAGAGATGTCAAGAGATTTAGTGTATTCGGGGCATAAGCCTGGACTTTGTAATACATTTTTAAGAAAATCACGTCTTCCGTGATCTTCTGTGGTTTAAACATGTGGTTTAAACATGTTTAAACACTTGTACTATCTGAGTAATGGACGACATCTATGGTTCTAGAACTCTATTGGGGATGGTCATGGGATGTCATTGCCCTCTACAGACTCAAGGAACGTAGATTTTGTCAAATCCTCATCTCAAAGCCATTGCACCCTGTGACAGAACATGCACTTTCCATGGTTCCAAAGGGTATCCATTGGTTCCTAAGTCGCCTCGTTGAAGACATATTAAGGAACCACAAAACACTTGAGAGAGGAGGGGGTGAACGAAAGGTAGCAGGCAATCACAAGTAACCCTGGTAGAAGTCCACGACGGCGTGAACCGGCGCAGGGGGGATTTGATCCAGGGGGGCGGGGCCCCCCCCCCCCGACGAACAGAATCAACTCTTACAGGACCAAATTCAATGCACAATCCCAACTCCTGATTGTAATACATTTTTGCTAAAGCAAGGAGAACTCAGGTAGCTCAAGCTACCTTTCGTGATTAAAAACATCACGAACATGGATTTACCCATAAGGAACACACACACACACATCACCCTACTGCTTGACCAGGAACTGCTGCTCGAGGGTTCTTCTGCTGCTTCGAGACATGACACCTTTGTACATAGTGCAAATTCGCAGGCCACATCCATCCATCAAACAACAATCATGTAGACTGTTGATGAATCATACCCCCATCAAACAACAAGAGGCTTCGTAGGATCGAAGAACGGGTGCTGAGTTCTCACATTTCTTGATTCAACGTCGGCGATAGCATTGGAAGGTAAAGCAGTTCGCAAGCGTGGACACCACACCCGAAAACGAGTTCGCTGGGACGATTGCATACTAGATCTAGAATCAATATACATATAAAACATTATATAGACTCTAGTGCCTAGCTGCATGTCATTTGTGTGTCATTCCCCATTCCTCTAAGAGTTGTATTAGTAGTTAGTGTATCGCTCCATGCCCAAACGCTCCATGTACTTCAACCACCCCAATGCAAGTGAATATGTCATACATGGAGTGTCTGGGATGAGCATTGCAATGAGGTCTCCTGAATCAGCTTACCTTGTCCTGCGGTGCCCATGTTTGATTGGAATCAAGCGTGAACAACGTGCTCCAACATGACACCTTTGTCGAATCGCACAAGGAACAGAAGGCACTTGCCAGCACTTGCCATGCAGTCGTGCTCAAGGTCAGTAACAGGATGCCAAGCATCAGACCAAAAAGGCATAGCAACAACAAAAACAACAGGTCAAATGCGGAGACAGGAAACACTTATTGTGTTGCATGCGGAACAGTTGTTGGGTGTGCATGCACACGTCCAGAAACAGATCAACCATCTGAAAGGGTAGAGATGGAACATCTTTCGGGAGACCTATGATTTTGATGCACCACTGCACCGCCGCTTCAATGACAATGAGCGTTCCTGTTTCAATCAGGGTGGCCTAATGCATGCATCTGCCAAGCAACTCCTACAAAGGGCCAGGACCTCATTGCGTCCAGGAGCTCTTTGGCGGGGAGTGTTCAGAAGAGATGTGTAAATCGGCCTCCAACCAGGGCCCCCAACCAGGGCCCACTGGGCCCAGTTTTGGTCGTGGTTCCCGCCCAGTGCGGACTTCGGCGCCTGAGAAAGCTCCTCTGCCACTTGCCTTGTGAGCTCACCCTGCACAAGAACCGACTGGCCAGTGACGGAGTGACGGCTTGAAAGTGGGCTTCAAGTCCGGTGCAGGGCACTGGGATCAGATCTGAGGACAGCGATATCACTTAGACATCGAGAAGAAACAGCGTGTTGGATTTGTTTCCAGCCGGACCAGCGGCTCCGGATGAGTCGTGACAAGCCTCCCAGCGGATGGTGCACCGAAGGACCAGACCAGTGGAGCCCCCCAGAACACGAATCATCCAATGGGTGTCTGTCCAATTGACTACCCTACCATACTTAGAGGTCTCCAGACAGGGCACCCGTTGGATGTGCTAGGTACGAATCCAGAAAGATGCGGCTATTGAATTAGGGACGATGTTCCCTTGCTCGAAATAAAGCCACAGGACTAGCTCAAACACAGAGTTTGACGAAGAGAGCGAACAGAAACACTGCCGGTAGCTGTGTGTGTGTGTGTGTGCGCGCGCGCCCCAAGACTACGTGATTTCAATGTACTTTGCTTGTATGTGGTACACAAGGGAGGAAGAAAATGTTTGAGATGTCATCAAACATGCGGGAAAACAACACATGGACAAATGGGATGGACATCAGTGAACAATTCCCATCGACAAATGTCCCACGCAAAGGACTTTCCCAGCCCACCCAGTCGTACGCAACCCTCCCTTCTGAAAATAAGCCTAAGATAAGCCTCCACACGGTTTATTAAGATTTAATTCTAATAGCTTTTTGTTACTACTAGTAAGGCACTTGTTACTACTAGCGTGGCACTTGTTACTAGTAGTATAAGATTAAGACCCCCAGTGAAGCCGACAAAAAAGGCCTACCTTACTGGCCTAACCATGCCGGTTTTTTTTCGAGGCCGAGCTGGCGTCGTCACGTGGTTCAGTCTTGCAAAACAATGAAACTCAGTATATGCTATATGGCTATATGTATATACTATACTATACTTATATACATATATACAGTATATTAATATGTAGGGTGGGTGGGTGGCCAGCAAAATTGTTGTGGATTACATAACTCGCTGTGGTTCCCGCAGTGCGGCGGGCCCATCTGATTGACATTGACGGCCACAGCGAAAGGCTCCCCACAGAGTTCTTCCTCAACAGTTTAAGACTGGGTCTCTGGTTGGCACTAATTACAGTCATCTGCAGCAGGCAGGATATCCATAGTGGTTGCCCACCACTCACCCCAACGATTGAATCTCTCCGATGCAAAAAAACACCAGTGCCAACTTGGCTGGCATGAGATGGTGTCTCTGAGACATGTAAATATAAGTTTAACAACACATGCCACGTGCCACGTGGACGCCCCACACAAAACGGCGCACCCCGCCCCACCGCCCCTACGCGGACCCCCGCCCCAGCGCCCCACACAGAGCTGCCGGGTCCGGACAACCAGCAAGCCCACTCGGTCTCGCCTTGCCCAAACAGTTCCAACTCATGTCCAAGCATCTGAGCCTCGGGGCCCATCGCTGCGTCGGACCGGTGCGTCGGTTCAAGTGGTCGTCTGGCTTCGCCGGGGACGAACCCGGACAAACCCACACACGCCCGGAGAGGTGTTCCCTGGAATTTGGTTTAAACCTCAACCGAATTTCCTGTGAACAATGTGTGTTTGGCTGTATCAACATAAGATTCGACCGGAAAAAAACAAAAACAACGTCGTCACACCTGCATGAGGAAAAAAACATGTTTTTGTTGGACCCAATGACCCTGCAAAATGTGAGATATTCCGTTTTAGATACAGCATTCAAACGTGCTTTCACCAAAAAACAGCAAGCTCCGTGATGTATGTATATATAATATATGACTTGATTTTTCTAGTGTCAATAACTGAAGCCGTGGACCCTGGGCATGACAAAGCTCACCAAAGTTCACCGCTTGGATTTACGCCTAGACATTACACCAAACCTGCCCTATAGACATACGCAATACATACTCACATCTCGGTTCCCAGATTTCCCAGACAAGTGCAAACAAATGTGCGGTTCCGAGGTAACCACAACAGCGATCAACACACTATGATGGGACCCAGATTTCTACGTCATCAACCAGCGATCTCATGGTAGGCAGAAGAAGAGAAACACCGCAATATTATCAATATTCAGTGTCAAACAATTGGCAAATACAGCTGGCGCATCTTGTCGACAAGCATGCATGCGCGTGTCCTCACCTCCACAAAAAATCTAGGAGAGCCGTTCGCAACATGTGTTTTCCTCCATGAACTGAACATAAACGAACACCTCCGATGTCCTGTACATGACGATCCTGGTGCCCAGTCCGAGTTGGACTCCGATCGTCCGACGGGTGCGGGCCTGGAGGACGGCAAGCTCTTCAGGAACTCGACGGCTCCTCGCGGAGGACCCGACCCGAGCGAACGAAGCATCCTCTGTGACCCGGTGATGATTAAAAGAAAGGCAACTGCGCAGGGGAGTTCCAGAACTGTTTGAGGCCAAAACGTCAAGCCATTTTTCAAAGTGAGCTTTTTGGAGTCCCGACTAAGTGACCTTTTACAGGCCCGTTTGTGACCTGAAAATGGAATATTACAAGGTTCCTTTGAAGAACCAGGAAGAGATTTCAGGATATTTCAGGAACATGGTGGTGGGCTGTGGTGGGCTGAAAGCAAAAGAGTGCAAAAAGGGACCAAATATGTTTAAATATACCTGATTTTGAATCGATTACCATCTGGTCTCACTGAGGCAGCACGAGGTTGGAACAATCCAGAATCACTTCAAAGTGAACAAATCCTGAAACTAATGGCTGTGGGTCATGGCACCCGAAACCCATGACCCCACTGGTAGTCAACCAGTGGTTAAGACTGAGTGCCATGACCGCCGTCCATCCTCCACACGGTCCCGCCGTCCTTGGCCATGAAGGGTGTTGAAGCTCACCTGCGGCCGGTCGAAGGAACTCGTGAGCGAGCGGAGCTCGGTACGCGGAACATATGCGCAGAAGGCCACCTGTTCCAGCGAAAGGCCGGGGGAAGAAAACATAATGAACACGGAGATCTTGGGGTGTTTGGTGTTTTCCTTTTTCTGCGCGGGTTTCGATGATGATATGTTTTCTTTGTATAAAGGCATGCTCTGCCATGAATGAATGTCACAAAAAACAAATTATAACAACAAATAGACCAAAAAAACTTCACCAAAAAGAGGTACGACGGATCTTCAGCATGTTTTGGAAACATGTGCACGATATTGTCTTCAACTACCGCCGCATCGTTCTGGTGCCTACGAAACGGATCATTCCCGGCATCCCAGGCGGACCCGCGGCCCGAGGAGAGGGTCACGGTTGTATTCGGAAACTCGACAATGCCACCCGCCTCAACTTGCCTCAACAATGCACGGAAGCTTACTGCCCCAGCCCCCCACCTCCCCACCCTAACCCACGAAAGCATTGGTCCGCGCAACCATCTGCGGAAGCTTCCTGCCCCAGCCCCCCCCCACCCACCCTGAATGCAAGAAAACGCATCAACTGACCACGCAGGTGGTTGTTCACATCGCCCCCTAGTTTGGGAATAGAAGTTTCTGAGCATGAGGGACAGTAGTTACTGAATACGACGAAAAGAGTTTCTGAATACGACGAAAAGAGTTTCTGAATACGACGAAAATTGTTTCTGAATAAGACGAAAATTGTTTCTGAATATGACGAAATAATTTGAATACGACGAAATAGTTTCTGAATACAAGCGTAGTGCAAAGGGATGGTTTCTGGGTACTGGTTTCTGGGTGTTCGCACGGTTCGCACGGTCGGGCATCCTGCTGGCGGTTGCCAAAAACCTGCTGGCGATGGCCTCCGACCCTGCTGGCAAGCTTTGGGTTTGCTGTCCAACAGTTTTCTTTCGGCTGAAGGATGTTGGGGCGGCGTGAAGGGGCTGCTTGGGGATGGTGGCGCTCTTTTCCATCGAGGCTGGGTTCCCCGTCGGCTGCGCCCGTAGGCTCGGGTCAGGGAAGCCGCCATGGCTGGGCGTGAGGGTCTGTCTGGCGTGTTCCGGTGTGCCGGCCGTTCCCATGCGTCGCTGGGAGGTCGCTGGCAGCCCGCTCCTGGTCCAAAATTTACTCGGGCTTCAAAAGGTGCCTCTTTGGAGGCTTGGGTGCAGGCGGCCCGCTCCTGGTCTGGCCTGTCCGCAGCCTGCCCCGACGGCCCAGCAACCTGCGGCGGGCTCTGATGGATGAGTCAATCGGCGTTTCAATTTTCCTCGTCTGCGGTAGTCCTTGAAGAACTGGGGCAGATCCTGGCCTGCCCCGTCTGTAGTGTGCACTGATGGCTCAGTGGCCTGCCCCACTGATGGATGAGTCGAAGCTTGTCGAGGCACTGCAGTGATAGGTTCCGGACGTCGGTGCTCCGCCCCCCCCCCCAAACCTAGTGCCCCGCCCCCCCCCCCCCCCCCCCCCCCCCCACCCCACCCTAACCCACGAAAGCATTGGTCCGCGCAACCATCTACTCATTGTGATATGATGGACGTTCATGCCAGTGGGTCCACTGTATACAATAACAATTTTTGCAGATATGTAAAAACAGCAAGTGCATGGCACACCGGAACGCGGAAGCAGGTCACATCGGAGCCACAACACTCAGCACCTAGATGACGTTTTGCACTTCGCATGAGGGGCATGGTGAGAAAGAACATATATATGGGTGTGTATGTTTTTACCGTAGTCGGGCCGGGAAGTTTGAATAGGTGGTATGATTCGAGGGTATGATTCGGGGTATGATTCGGGGGTATGATTCGAGGGTATGATTCGCAGATGATTTGCAGCTTGGAAGTTGTATATTGTTGGATTAGTTGGACTTCCAGCAGTGGGCCCACTCTGCGCCGTGAGGGAGTAGGCAAGCAGCATCTGTTGGATGCTGGGCAGACTAGGCAACTGCACTCTTCCACCAAAGACTCCAGTGGCCCTCTGCAGGTTCCACCGAAACAACCAGGATGTGGGATGGGTTGGAGAATGTGTGGAGGCGCGTGATTCGGGTATGAATCGGGTGTGATTCGTATGGCCATTAGATTCTGCAGAAGAAGGCAGGCGGTCCTTTGGCTCTTCTTCCCAAGCGAGGGCACACGGGAACACCACGAGCACCCCTGAGACGCGAGCCCCTGCCCTCCCCACAAGAAGACAAACAGTTTTGGCCGAATTGAGTGCCCATGGATCACACAATTGCAAACATCCTACACCATTGGTTCATAGACACAGGCACAAAGACAAACCAACAACTTCACCTGAACACCTGGTTCTTACATGTACCTTTTTGAGGGGTATGATTCGGGGGTATGATTCGAGGGTATGAATCGCTCAAGTCGAACTTCCAACCACTTCAAATGCAATCATTTGTAAATGCTCATGACAGCTTGAAGCTTGTATCATGTCTGGAGTATGTACAAAGGTGCTTGAAAACATATGTACAAGATTTTCACTTTCTTTTCATACCTTCATACCTTCATCAAGCTTCATCCTATGGAAGCAATATAGCTATCCAGCTATGAGCTCTGAGTCGCCCAGCTAGCAGGCACTCTGGCCCTGCAATCAGCTTCCACTGCCCTTTGAGTATAGTGATTTTGTAAAATGTGACAGAAGCAAGTGCAGTACATTTGTCTGTACTCCATTGCAGCTGCTGTGCACAGGCCATCATGACACTTTACAATCTTTTTCTCTATAGTGCCCTCTATACTCAGCTTCACTCTGCCAACATACACATCGCCATCCTTGTGGTGCTGGACAAATGGAATGCCCTCAACCCATTTCACTACATCCTCTTGCACCTTTTGCTTTTTGGGAGGATGTACAGGTTCACCTTGATCTGGAAATGCTTCAACTGGCTCAGGATGAGGTGCTACACAAGCTAGAGAAGCTTCAATCTCTGGCTCAGCTTGCTCAGCTGGAGATGCTGACTCATAAGCTGCAAAAGCTTCAATAGCTGGGGTAGCTGGGTCAGCTTGGGTTTCACTTGCATCAGGCCACACCCACACTTGGCTATCTTGGTCTTCCAAAAGAGTTTGGATATCAGCACCAGCCAGGAAGTACACGCCAAACAAATACAAGCCCATATATATGCATACAGAATCATACAGAGAGAGAGAGGAAAAAAATAAAGGGTTGGATTCAATGAGGCGACAACACGCACAGGTTTTCGCGGCCTAAAGGGTGCTGCCCAGAAGCCTTGCTACAACGTTACATCAGCCCTTCTCAAAAACTAAGGGAGCAGCCTGCAGTAGAAGCTACAAGAGCGCACTAGAACCTGGGCCTGTAGGAAACTAAACGACAAGCTCAACAGCCGATGCCAAGCGACTTCCAATCTTTTCTTCAAAAGGTTTATGGTGGGAGATTGGGTCGCCCCAAGCAGAATTAAAACAAGTTCTCAGCGGACAGTATTGAAAACTGGCATCAAGAACCCGATGGAACGCCACTCCATCATTCTAGCACACGCTATCACAATCCCGTGAGGCCTAGTTTTTTGAAAAACGTTCAAGCAACGAAAAGAATTGTATACATGCACATGCAGATGTGTAAACTGACAGAGATTGCAACACTTTAAAAACAAATCTACACGTAACACGCTTTCAGATTCGACCACATGTAGGCAGCCCTCTAATTATTGATCCAGGGTCAAGGCATTTGCTTTGCACTAGGAAGCTTACTGCCCCAGCCCCACCCCCCCCGACCTCCCCCCCCCCCCCCCACCCTAACCCACGAAAGCATTGGTCTGCGCAAACATCTACGGAAGCTTACTGCCCCAGCCCCACCACCCCACCCGACCCTGAATGCAAAAGAACGCATCAACTGACAGCACAGCTGGTTGTTCACCTCGCCCCCTAGTTTGGGAATAAAGGTTTCTGAGCATGAGGAACAGTAGTTTCTGAATACGACGAACATAGTTTCTGAATAGGACGAAAAGAGTTTCTGAATACGACGAAAATAGTTTCTGACTACGACGAACAGAGTTTCTGAATACGACGAACATAGTTTCTGAATAGGACGAACATAGCTTCTGAACACGACGAAATAGTTTCTGAATACAACAAAATAGTTTCTGAATACAAGAGTTTCTGAATACAACGAAATAGTTTCTGAATACAACGACATAGTTTCTGAAGACCAGTTTCTGAATACAGTGCAGTTTCTGAATCCGACTTTGTTCCCGAGGAGAGCGATAGCAACACATGGAACACTCAGTGGACCCATGTTGCAAACATCGTCAGGTAGCAACACCTTCCAACAGGTCTCCGAAGTGGAGGTTTTTGCAAAGAGCAAAGTCGCAGGTGACCTGGCAGTGAGGGTACTGCATGGTATACAGATGCTTGGAGGCCCTGAACTAAATTTGAGCTATACACCAGGTTCGGTGGTTTTGGGACACCCCCGAATCACCTCTGGACATCCTGACTATTGTTGACCGTGAAATTCCTGAGACATGTTGAAAAACACTTCCCAAAACAAAACTATATATGTTCCAGTTCAGTTAAATCTATCAATTAATTTGCAGGTCTGCTCATTCCATTTCTGGATAAAATTATGTCTGGATCCTTTTTTTATGGCCAACCTCGTTCTTGTGCTTCTATCCTTTTCCGAGCCCTGAAAACGTCGTTCGGGGATGTTCGGGGCGACTTTTGGATGCCCCCAACCATTGCCAGCCAAGCAGCATCCAAGCTCTTCATCCTCAAGGTGGTGACCTCGTGACAGAATACTGTGAATGCGCTGAAACCGCCGGAATGCGCAGAAAGAGCGGATGGAACGCCCCAGGGACCGCACGGACGAGGGGACAGGGGACAGGGGACCGTGATCTGCTTTGGGATGGAATGGGGGCAGTTTCAAAGTATACAAGCTGGATTTAGATTGATTCAATGGTCGAATCAGGCAGCAGGCAGCAGTAAGCGCGTGGTATTCCAAACATCCCTGTCAAGCTTTAAGCGGCGCAACAGAAAAACAGAAAGGCCACTTGACTGATCAATCGGTCTATCCCTACAATTCATCCCCAACTCAGACCCTGTTGTTTCCAAAGATACCCGTTTTCCATTGATGTTCTGTTTTCAGGGCCAGGCCCAGCCGAATGGTTCGATGAATTTTGGAGGAACTATGTAGCTATGCGCAGCGGGTGAAGGATAACCCAAAAGTTATCCCACCCAGCCACAAATTTCCAAGTGCAGCTTTCAATAGACCAGATCTACACTTGCTGAGGGGATCACTCAACAATAACAGTGATCACTCAGCAATGGCAATGAACATTTTTGTGCGTGCCCTTTATTTACTTGCTTTCACACGATCCTGATGCTACACGTATGCGCAGCGTGCGGGCGAGTGGGCGACATTGAGTCGTTGGTGACGAGTTCAAGCCTTACTTCATGATGAATTCATTGGGGAGACACCCAAAGACTCCTTAGGAAGAAGGGAAATAGACCAACAGCACAGGGTCTCCCTATTAAACATGCATTTATATGCAGGGATGATGAGGGCTGCGCTTCAATACGTCATTACCTATTGCAAACACTCCATGGGGCTGGCACATATTTAGCCGATCAGGCCAGGAGTGGTTGATGTTCTTTTGGGTCCATCGAAAAAGGCGCATATACCTGGCCCATGGTGAACGGCTGGTGCAATATGAATTCAAATGAATGACTTCCCGCCCACACGTAAGGAATTACTTGTTACCAGTATTATTGACCATATTTGACAATGACGAATGCTAAAACGATCAACGAGAGGCACAAATATGGCACAATCCTCGCTGCTCAGAATGGCAGCTATCTTCTCTGAATCCAAAAGAGTCCAAGGGTCCAACAGTTGTGTGAATGACGGTGTTTTTAGTCCTTTTTCTTTGATTTTGCACAGCAACAAACCCAGGCCTAACACGGATGCTGCATGTGGACAAGAACGTCGAAAACAGTGGATAATTATATTCTGATGATATAAATATAAATATATATATATATATTACAAATTGGTATATAAACATTCTTTCAACCCCCTCCAACATTCATCGCAGTGGACTGTGTTCCTCTACCAACAGGGGTTTGTCCACTTCCATGTTGGGAGGGACGGGTACACGTTGAAAGACCCGAAGTCCATCGGTGTTTTGGTCACCTCGCATCGGAGAACGCACCTGCAGGACCTCCTCCGCTAAACCGTTCACCAATCACACCTTTATAAGACCTCAACGCGTGCATGGCATGGTCCCGACAGGAGTCCGATTTCGGATGACCATGAAATCAGAGCAAGCAGGTGAGAAAAGGTGGTGAAATGTGGTGAATTCCATGTCCATGTCTTTCTTTTTCACTTGGATTTGCTTCAGGAACCGAGGAAAAGAACAATTCACCAGAAGGGGGATTCACATGGATTCCCCCATGATTCGAGAACATAACACACATCACCTTAAAGCACCAGCAGGTTCAGACAGTGTCAAGTCATCCAACTTCTTCATCCAACACCCACCCAATGCCCAAGGAGAGAAACGGCGCGGTCGACCTCTGGGCTGTCCCGCCAGGCTTCCAAGGGCCGCCCCAGTGTCCAAATCCCAGCCGATCTGCACATCCTCGCGGGTTTCACCCAAGTCACACGCCAACAAACTCCTAGCATTTTGGAGCAGAACACCAAGGAGACTTGGATTTGGCTGTCCAGGAACCTGGAACACACAAACATCCATCTACTCCCCGTGCCAGCAGATTAAAGTAAAACAGGTCGGATCCTTTTCGGGTAACATGTTTTTTTCAACACATCCCCCGCATGACCCTCTTCACATCCGTTATATAACCCTTCTTCACTTCGACTTCCCGGTCTTGGCACCTCTGCGCTGCGCTCCACACGTCCCGCGCGGCGCGTGAACACGAGTCGAGTCGTGAGAGGACTTCGTCGGGGTCCGAAAGGCTGAGCCGCTGCAGGCGCGGGCAGTGCTGCGAGAGCTGCAGGCACAACCGTGAGACCTCGGGACGGTGGGAGAGCGTGGGACTGGGACCGTTCGACAGTGCTGCGCGGTGAGACCGAGGCAACGGGGCGGAGGCCTTCGGTTTGTGGCTTTGGCGTGTTTGTTGGGAGGATGTATGGGAGGATGGGAAAGGGGGGGAAACGAGACGAGGAACTTCAGTGGATCCGTCTGGGTGTGACTTGGATCTTGAGTTTTGAGTGAGAATGGATGATGATGATGATGATGATGACGACGATGATGAAGGAACAATGAACATGAACACAAGAAATCAATGAATCAATGATCAAACAACAGGGTAGTGTGGAGTCAACTCCTTTCTATGAAGTATTATATCGGATGTAGTCTCACTGGACTTGGGCGAGTTTTGCCCTATTTGCAAGGCGGGTCACCGACTATCATCCAAAAATACACACTGTCACTTGATGGCTTTACTGGCTCACTTTAAACCACATCAGGGCGGTGGCCATTCGTTCAAAAGGCAAAGTTCACAAGTGACACGGGGGTCTAATCTCAGCAAGTCCATGGTAAGGATGGGAAGGATGTCACTTGTTCAACATTGCTTGGGCGATCAGAATGTTGCCCTGTTCATTTTGGGTAAGCCGATAAAATCCATGTCATCTATGGTCCATATCCCGCAGCAAGGCCTCCTGTACTGTTTGTTTCTTGTTCAATAAGCATCTGCATGGAGGTGAATCAAGCTCAACCGGCAATACTGGGACTCATTCGCGAAGACATCAAGCCCCATGTCTTTTTTGAAAGACACAACCTCTTGAAGCCGGTACATTGAATTATAGTGCTTTCAGAGTACATGGCACAAACCCAAAGATGTCTGTTATATGGAGGTCCTTGGAAACCACCTTTTGAGGATTGTGCCATCTACTCTGAAACCAAAGTATAGTGACTATAGTGGGTTCCATAGTCTTGACATGTTCAGAGGTACCTCCGACCATGGGTCAGCATACTGTCTGGACAGCTGGGTAACGACCCTCTCCTTAGAAACCACCTGCGTCATCCGGCATCCAACGCCGGAGCCGCCGAGACACCGAGTTGTCCGAGAGCTTGTTGCCCGACAAGTTCACGTCCTGGGAGCCCGTTCTTTCACCTTCCTTCACGTTCAGACCGTGGGTGGGGTTTGGTAGGATGAAGAGAGGGAATTTCGCGATTCAGAGGTCCGAAAGGATATATGTTCTATTCACATCTCCAAGCAATTGATTTAGTCCTCTTTGTTTTGATGTTCAGAGGTCCGAGCCGCGGGGGGGTCGGAGACGCCCCTTCTGAACCCCAAATGACATGCCACAACACGACACACTACATGGCCCTGAAGGGCCTACATGGCCCTGAGGGGCCTAAGCTATTACGTTTCGACCTTTAAAACACGGAACCGTTGGGAACGGTTGGTCTGGGAACGGTTGGAACGGTGGCAGGTGCGGCACGTGTCCTCTATTGCCAGGGTGGTTTTTTATGCCGCACATACTTCTTCTCAGCTGGGGTGAAAGCCCAGGGCACGTCATCAGTTTAGACCCCGTTGAGGCCCACACAATCTTAATACAGAGATCTGTTGGAGGGTCTTGGTGAGCAAATGACAATTACAATGTATATTATGTTATAATCACTATAGTCAAAATCCACAGACATTCGCATGTAATTTTACCCAAACTTTTGCAAGACATTGCACCCCCCAACCAAACCTCACATCCCCTGATCCGCACTAGCAAACAAAAACACGTCAACCATATATATAGATATATGCCATGAGGCTGCCAGTTCAATTTGGGGTGTTGGGTGCCCCCCACATCATTTCAAGGGAAATCACTATTGCAATCAATTATAACGACCTATATAACATACTATAGATGGTAAGCGTGGTAACTACAGTATATAAAATCCAAAGATTAAACCAATATATAGACCGTGGTATCTGGGCATGGTTGTAGACCCCTCTACCCGACTTCCCGTGCCCATGCGTCTGGGCACCGCGCCGTGAGCTTTGGAGCCCGGCGAATGAAACTCAAGATCGACTGGCGATGCGCTGGTGCATTCGGCGACAGGCATGTGACCAGTCCGGAACCTGTCAACACGAGCGAACTTCAGTTGTGGGGGGTGGCCCGGCACCACAGCCAGGAAGCAAAAAAGCAACACATCCGGCACGAGAGACACCGAGGCCATCTCTCCATGACAAACTCTGCGACCACAAAGCAAACTTGTTGCACTTTGTCGCGCTCCAGGACACCCATCACATCCACCGCAGGCAAGGGTGGATACAGCCCACCCTTGCCTTTATCGGGCTAGTTCACTCACAGCAGTTCTGGGGGCTCACGCTGAAATGTTTGGAGTCAGGGCGGTGCGCAGCGCCCTGGAGAGAGGTCGCGCTCAGCGTCGCCCCGAGCGGGACCGAGCGTCCGTCAGGTCAGCCTCACCACGGGCTCGTCGCGACCACAGGGTGTCGTCTTGCCGCTGCTGGCGGCTCATATATCCCATCGCCCGAGCTGATGTATATTTCATGGAGGTGACTCCGGGATGATGCTCGAACTTGATACCGCCCCTCGTCAACAGCGCCCTGCTCGACATATCCCGCAGTCTTGCTGCCGAATTGTAACAGATCTGGACACAGCGCAGCATCGTCTCCTCGGCCGAATCCTCCCAATCCGCAGTGCCTGCTGCGATCGCCTTCTGCACCAGACTGTGCAGCACGCCAGCCCACTGCGTGGCCCGCGGCAAAGGAGGACGTGTACAATACCTGGCACTTGCAATCCCCGTGCCTCAATGTTGCCAGTCACCTATTTCTCTGGCAGTGTGACCTTTCTATAGGCTTCGCGTTCCTTTCTTTATAGATTCCTCCTGCGCCATCTCCTGTACTCATCACCTGCTGCAACAGTTTTCCAATGAGTTTCCTTCTGTTTATTGGTTGGCAAAGCGTTTATATTTGTAGGTTTCCCTTGTTTTCTGTGGATCCCTTAGCCTTCCTTTTTTGTGTTGTTTTTCTCTCTCTCTCTCTCTCTTGCTTTTCTTTCTGATTTTTCTTTCAAGGCTCTCAGTAGATGGCACCACGATTCTACATGATCCCACACGCAGAAAAAAACACAGAAGATGGCCCAGTCAACAGCCAACTGCTGGCTTGCGCCATCCACTGTTGGCTTTGTCTAAAGAGACATGCCGCCTCAGAAGATGGCGCAGCCCCCGGTTTTTGCGCCAGTAAGTTTGAACATCGAGAGTAAACGAACACCAAATGAAACCGGAAAATTACATTTCAAGGGTCTCCCCCCTCCATTGTGATGTTCAAGGGGGTAGGGATAGGTGCAGTATGTACAACTGCTGACTGTTTCTTCAAAGAATGACGGCGTGATGTCCGACAGTGGTGTGACGGTGCGATAGCGGGCGTGGCACCGTCAAGCGGTGATGGAACTGAGCGAAACTGGTTGCATGGCTGCTACGTCGGCGGTCACAAGAAAGCGCGCATGTGTGCGAGATCGGCATGTCAAAGGCTTCAGGGAGGTCAATTTGCGGATCAACACATTGTTGCTCATGCCTCCAATGCGGTGGCTTTTTGGGAGAGACAAGTGGTCCGCTGGTGCCCTGGTATCCTGGTCCTTCTGTCTCCTCGTCCGCTGGTCTCTTGCTCTCCTACTCCGCTCGTCTTTCGGTCTCCTGGCCCCCTGCTTGCGCAAATAGAGGCTTGATTGCTTTCTACTAGAGGCAGCTCCCTGGGAGGAAAGTAGGCGCCCGATGATAAGGTAGCCGTCCAGTCATTGAGTAGCCCTACTCGAAAATTGATTCACCAGTAGAAATAGTTCCCTGCTAGGAAGGAGCTCCTAGGGAGGTACACTCTCCCAGTCCCCTCTCCTTCCATCCTCTACCCTTGGTCTCCTAATCCACTGCTCTTCTGGTCCTGGAATCGGCCTTTGGTCAATCGAGAGACAACTGTCTTGCAGAAATTGTAGTCTAGCACCGTGAAGTAATTGTTTCGATCCTGTTCTTTTCTGTTGATTTCGTCCGCTAATATGTCGTTGGCGCAGACACGCCAATCATAGCATGTCCATGGTTTGGAGGGCAGTATTTTTTGATCCTCTTTTTTTGATCCAGATGCCGTTACTGCTACTGCTACTACTACTACCCCAACCATCCTCAGTGGGCTAGAAAATTGTTTTCTTTTGATTCCATTTTTGTTTTTGATCCTCGTTGAATATTTTTGATTCTATTTTTATTGTTGTTTATCCCTTACCCGCTGGATGACTACCGGACTTCAGTCAGGATTGCTAGGCAAGTGGCCCGAAGCATAGATGGAGGATGCTATGAAGAGGTGATGAGATTCTGGTGACTTTTCAATCTTCAGTCCAAGTCTACATGTTGCATTCACTATTTTTGCTTATTGCCGCAGGCTCCCTTTAACTGACCCCACTCCAAAGTGATGCCCGGGTCGGAACTGGTCCCACCGCAGCCATCAGTAGAACCTTATCCCGGGAGTGACATGGCTTTGTTGATCCATGCATGTGCTTGGATTTATGCCATTTCCGTTAATATCGACTCAGTGACTCACAGTCCTATCCGGACGTCGGTGGTAGAACATTTGGTGAACATCCTTTCCCAGCACCCTACGGATTTGAAAGAACATGAAACAACACATCCAAAGGGCTATATACTTGGCTTGTTTAGACCCAATGAGGGACATCAACATCCTTCACTTGCCATCTTGCCAGTACTTGAGCTACAATGACCTCATTGTACCAAGGACAAATGTGAAGTGAAGATCCACCCTATGGAAGCATGAGCTGCTGAGAATGGGGTGGCAGAAGGAACCAGGTAAGCTAAGGGAAATCGGTATTTGTTGAAAATCAACTATTCAACTACTAGAAAACCATCCGAGAAAGAAAGAAAGAAATAAAGAAAGGAAGGAAGGAAGGTCATGGGCCTTTGAGATGTTAGCTGGGGCTGGCATTGCATCAATTGAGTTTGAAGCAGCCAAGGGCGACAGGATTTTGCCAGAAAAACTGACCTTGTTCCCCCATGAATGGTGTCTCACGCAACTTGGTTTACTACTGTGGAAGAAGTTGCAGATGACCCAGATGATTGTTTCTTTTTAACTGCCAAGTTACCAAGTGCTTGACTGACAGGGGCGACCTCACGTGAGGCAAGGCGATTCAGGTCAGAGTCGAGTCATAGAAATCACATGACGTGACAAACATATTCAGTTCATCCTAAATCCTGTATGAATCATTGGCAAAAGCAGTTCGGCCCTTTTCGACCAGTATTCAAAAGATTGAGTGGAATGAGTTAGTGAAAGAAGGGGACCGCTAGGCACGTTTTCAACAAGTTGGACCAGGTACTTTGCCGAACTTGGTGTGCGACCAGAAGACTTTGGAGGAAGCACGATGCCCAGTAGCATACTGCAAAGCAAGTCAGCAAGTTGTAAATTACCAACAGGGCAAACGAGTCACCACTGGCCAAAACAAGAAACAGTCAGCCCAACGAATACTGGTGCGTAAAATTGGTGAATCACTTCTAATGGCGGTTCCAGTCCGCCGAAGCTGCCTGTTGGCTCATCTGCTTTGCAAAAGGCTCCAAGATGGAGTACCCTTCGCTGATACTCTTGATGTTGCCTGCATCACTTGCCTGGCCAGTCTTGTCGGGGTGGAACTTGACCAAAAGCTCTGCTTTGTTCTTCTTCAAACACTCCACTGTAGGCAGTCTTTGACGGGTCCACGTCAAACAGCTTGCAGGCATCCTGGTACTTAACGGTCCATGGATCCGCCATAGAGGACGTGAAGACCATGGTGCACCTTAGGTAGCAACTATAGAAGGTCTGTGTTCCTTCTTTCGTTCTTTTCTCTCTTTCTTTCACAGAGGTCTTGATAGAAAGTTCTAGACAAGAAGTTTGCTTTCAAGATTTATGTGGTTCTACCATAGGTTCTTGATGGAGGGTTCTAGAGAGGAAGCTATTTTCCGAGAAATTAAAAAAATTGGATGTAAACACGTCTCCTATATGGAGGTGTTATGAATGGGTTGTTACATGTTGTTACAGTCCAGGGTTACAGACCTCGGGGTGCCGCCCTTGGAGGAAGTCGGGGTGCCCCGACTTCACATCCACTCACCTTCGGACTCAAAACCAGCCAACTCCATGTGATTCTTGGGCCTAAAAGTGGACTCCAGGTCCATAGCAAATGGTCCAATGTCTATGGTCCAATGTCTATGTGTTTTTTTTGCATAGTGTCCTAAAATAGCACCATGTCTATGGTTTTAAAGTTTCTATGGTTCAAAGTGTTTAAAACATGGTTTCTCTATGGAACCTATCCAACGCATGGCATCCCAGTGACCGTTCCGGCACCGGCCTCGACACCTTGGCCGTCGAAGCCGTTGGCCTGCACAATTCATACGAAGCCGTGGACCACAGGACGACAGGGGGGCAAAGGAAACACCATCAACATGAAAACAATATGGTCCGAAGAATTTGTTGGTCCATGGATTTGGTAATCAAAAGTATATCTAAATTAATCTATATGTCAGAGATTTGTCAATGTATTTGTCTTTTTAAGCAAAAGTCATCTAAATCTATATGTAATCTATATATGGCCGAGAAAGCTTGATTTGGAGATGGTTCTCCTTCTGAAGATGTAAGCACCCAAAACCATCAACACCTGTCTTACCCTCTTAAAGCATTGTATATAAGTTGGAGAACACCCGTGATTCCAATTCAGCAAACGGTCTAAACATGTTTAAACCCCTGCAAGGGCCAGGTAGCTGCAATGGGCAAAAGTGACACTTGGCAGCAAATGAGCTGATGGTCATTGGCAACAGCTTAAAACCGAACTGAACTGACTCGTTGCTCTGCAAAACAAAGTGCTTTCCTTGTTCCACCACGGTTCATTAGCAAAGAAACCAACTCCCCGAAAAGTTTTAAGGTCAATCACTGATTGGGCTGGTGAATGCCCATATTGTTCTCGATCCCATGCTACACCAATACTTGGTATATTTGGCGCTCTATATATATATATACTAACATATATAACCGGATACCCACATTGTACTATGTAAAGACAACATTAAAATATCAAACACATTGTACACTCTATCATACTCACACCCCATCCTTTCAAGTAAAGGTATGCTTCATCATGGTCCGACTTTAAATCTCCATGCTTGCAGCAAATTGTAGGACTCTACAAGGAGGATGACCTTTGACTTTGTTTGCTATTGGACAAAGATTAAAGCATATTGGAACAATACAATAACTGTAGTCTAAGAAACACACTCAAACCAACAAAGACACACATTGGGATTGTGAAAGCATTGAATTTGTCCAACGGCCATCGGCCAAGCACAAATGGCTCAGCCCTCAGCCTCGCATCGTGGTTCGATCGGTGCCCAAAGGGGCCACATGGGAATGGCCATGACCCCCGTCACAAACAAAACAACAGCTTTAGATTGGACATTATTGAAGTAAGCTTTTTAAACAACATGATATGACATGATGGTTCAATATGTACTACAACTATAGTGATACATCCCAGGGACCCTCAAACCCATGGGCAAACAACGGTTTTCACATACAAAACACTGCTTTTTGCTAGGGAAAACCTGGTGTTTGAAGGTTTGTTGGGCCCCCTGGTTTCACCTCCCGAAGAGCATCGCAACAGGGCGGTGGCCGGGCCGAGAGGTTCAGCGTCGTGAGGTGCGAGCCCAGGGACGAGACGAGAGCCTCCACCTGGAGGGGACCCGTTTGGGGGTTCGTTGAACGGACCCATTTTGGGGGGTTCGCTGATGATGTTCGCTGATGGCTGGTGTTTGCACTATATACCCTATAGGGTATACCAGTGGATCCCCATCTTTTTGTTCACAGCCCAGAAAGGAAGATGGTCAGGTAGTATTATGGTAGTATTACATAGTGATTCATTTGTAGAACTGAACGGACCCATTTTGATGGTCACAGCCCGAACCGGTATTACTCCTTTTTTGAAGACCGGTTCGGTTTGTTTTTTGGAGCGCTCAGTACTTCAGTACTTCAGTGTTCCTTCCCGAACTGATCCCACCATCAGACCATTCTTTTGGAGTCGATTCCCTGGTTCTGCTTGGAGCTGGTGGAGCTGAGAAAATCCCAAGTGAGGTAAGCTTGGCTTGGTAAGGGAAACAAATCACAAAATCAAAAGTTATTGGACTGTATAGCCTTTTCATGCCTTTTCAACATGTTTGCCAAACTAAGACACACTGGGAAAATCATCGCCGGTGTTCATCTTGCTGGTGATTCAAGATATTGTCTTGCAAACTGTTTGTGGAGCGATGCCTTATCCGAGCAGTTCAGTTAAAATGATGAAACCTTCAATTGTCTGCATTGCACTACACCGTACGGGTCCGCATACCGGGGGAAACCAAACTTCTCTGAGGCAGTTGCCTGAAAGTCCAACAACCCACAAACCAACAGGTTGGCCCAATAAATAATCACTTTGTTGCCTCTGATTGACACGTCACGTGCATCTCCGCCGAAAATGCCTAGAAAGAGCCATCGACCCTGTCTGAGTACCATCCCCCGCAAGCTGTGAGAGGGGTTTCTCATGTGTTTCGTGTGTAATTTATATGGCTGTGAGTCAAACCTGGAGCCCTGGTAGGCTGACCTCCTTGGTGGTCTATTCTGTTGATTTCCAGTGGTCAACCAGGTCCCCTAGTTTTGACCCCTGCCATAGTCATAAGATAAAATCTGCGCGAAGACATCCGTTTCAATGGACCGAGTGGTCCCAAATGGTCCGTGTTCTGGGTGACGGTATGTGAGCATAGACCCTGTTTCCCACGGAACTAACCCACCAACGATCTTGGCAAAGCAGAATGAACATGAATGAACGGTATAAGTTATAAGACTATGTGGGATCTTCCTGCCCAGCCTCTTCCCCTCCTTCCTCATCCAATAGGCAGTGCATTTCCATACATTGCATTCCATACACCCACTGGAATACCTGCACTTGCCACATACCCCCATCCCATCCAACTCAATCTTGGCTTTGGCTTTCAAATAGGCTGATGGGAGCTCATCCACCCTCAAAGCACCACCCTCATTCACCAATTTCCAAGCATCCTCCTGTATCTTGGTCATCTTCTTATTCTCTGCCTTCATCTTCTCAGCCAATGCTGCCATCTTCTCCCTCTCCAACCTCATCTTCTCCCCATGCATTCTTCTTATCCTTCTCATCCTGCCCCCTCATAGCCTTGATCCTCTTCTCCCTCTCAATTTCCAATTGCTCACCCATCTTCTTCACCTTGGTGATCCAATTCTGGGCCGCAACCCGTGGCCATCCAATCCCTGCTGGGCCATACCCCATGGCCTCGGCAACCTCCTGCTCCATGTAGGCCAATGCAAATACACCACATTGGTTGGATCCCTTCTTTTGCCTCACCACCTCATTCACCCTTTGTAGGGGGGG